TCTAGCATCATTTGTATTTTGAGCTCATGGATTTGATATAGTTTAGAATATCAATTTACAAACCTATGAAGAATCTAATGCTAATAAAAGAAAGCATGCTATAGGCTTCTTAATTGGTACTATAGTTGCATATGATTTTACTAAAAGACAACATTATTTTTTCCTAAGCTAGATTATGGACTTTAACTTTTAAATATGAATATTTGGCATATGTTGTACTATTCAAAAATATTTTTATGACCATATTAATATTTTGAGGTCAGAGAACAATTGTTAGAGGGCAAAGGATCTTGAACTTATTAAGTTTGAAGAATCTAAGTCATTTCTTTGTTTACAAAGGCATGCAATTGATGAATTACAAGCTCAATATGTCTTTGTAATTTTATCTAAAGAGTTAGAAAAAAAATTATTTAAGAGACTCTCTCATTAGATTTTTTTTTGAAAGACATTTTATATTCTTCTAACATTTCTAATTCATACAAAAATTGTGGTGATAAAGTCCCTCATTTGATTAAAAATAAGGATGTTGAAGGCATAAGATTTGTTTCTTCAATAGATTATTAATTAAAGATTGTACTAATATGTAGTAGTAATCTATTAGTGAAAAAAGAGACCACAAAGTTTAATGAGTAGCCATTGGATTTAGGGCCACATCTTATGGATGCCAAAATACAAAAGATATGAACTTTTATCCGCTTATATCACAATTATTTTAACTTTAGTCTTGAATATCTTGAAGGTTACAAAAGCAAACCTATTTACATCCAATTGGAAGATAATTATTCAATTTTTCAATGATCATAAAAGCTTAATGCTCTAGAAAAAGCTACTATTTAAGCTTGTTGCAAAGAATTATTAGTTGAATAGTTAATTGAGCTTTCTAATAATAAGTATGCTTGTACCATAGTCATGTCTTTGAAAAAAGATGTTTTTGGCTATTGGATAGAAAAGTAGATGTGTGGAGACTATTGTCCAATTAATCATAAGACTAAATCTAATCGATAATCAATGCCAATGCCAAAAGAATTATTTGATGCAATAGAATTTTTTTGATTAATCAGCACTTTGGATTTAATATATGATTATTATAAATTACCATTACTTATTGAAAATTGAGTGAAGACAAGAATTTGGAAAATTAATCATGATGATAAAGATCAATTCTATCACTAGAAGTTCTTTCTATTTGGTCTTAAGAATGTACCAATTAAGTTTCAATAAATGATGAACAAAGTTTTATTTGGCTTATCATTTAGTAAATACTATAGTGATGATGCTATTATTTTTATTAGTATCTTATAAGATCATGTGAGACATTTATAAGCAATGTTTAAGCAATTATGACAATAAAAATTGTACTTGTATCAAAAAAAGTATAAATTCTTCTATGAACAATTACCATACTTAAGTCACTTGATTATCTAAGGAGATCTTAGCGTCCAACAAGCAAAAGTAGATGCCTTACAAAAAATCTCAACACCAAGTGATGTTTTATAACTTTGGTCTTTTTTAGAATTAATAAACTGCTACAAAAGATTTGTTAAAAATTTTAGCATCATTACTAAGCCTTCAACTATTTTTACAAATAAAGATCAAATATGGATTTGAAATCATAAATAACAATATGCATTTGATACATTGAAGGAAAGTTAGATTCAACTCTAATTTTTTGACGTCTCGATGCCAATAGACCTTTTTCAATTACACACAAATTGAAGTGCAGTAGGATTGGAAGCAGTCTTAACACAAAAAGGTGATATAGGACAAGAATATATTATTGCATTTGCTTCTAGAAGTAATAACAATGTAGAGTCAAATTACTCATCTTATGAAGAAGTAATTTTGGTATGAGTTCTTAATTATATTCCAAAATTTAAATTTAAATTTTTATTTTATTTTATGATAATTAAATAAGATATATTATGATTTATATAAGTAAAATTTAATTTTGTAGAGATTTGAGGGTTGTAACCTTTGATGGTACAAATTCTAGCCTAATTGCTTGAATTAGGTTAATTTGGACCAAAGTGATAAGATTTAGAAAACTAAAATAGTAATTTAGTTAATTTTAATAATTTAGAGGTTGTTAATCATTGCTATAAAATTTAATTGAGAGCCTATGAATTCACTTGCAATCATTTCATATGATTTAGAATAAATTATAATTACAATTTTCTAAAAGATTTTAGTAAAGTTTAGCAATGATAGTCTTGAAGTTTTTCTCCAAACTCAATAAATCCAAGCAACAGAGTAGCTTTTCTAATACAAAAGCAATATCAGATTCACCTCATGAACTGAAGAAAATAAGATCAGCACCCTTTCTACCAAAATACAAGTAAAGCCATGAAGATATCATTTTTAGGGGAGTTTTTAATAATTGCTAAAATATTTGGAGGTAAATATCTTTATAAAAATTATATATGACCATAGATAGGAGCATGTGAATAATTGATCTTAGCATAAAAAAATATTTTGAATACAATGGTGAAGTTAGATTTACCAACAAGTGCTTTTTTGACTACTTACAATAGCCATCAACCTTAGTAGCAAAATTAGCTCTTAGATGAATGAAGGCTATAGATCTAGATTAAGGATCTTAGAGATCAAGAGTGGAGATGTGGCCACCTCCTATGAGCCTCCACTCACTTGTATAAGCTCTCTTTTTTTTGGTAAAAGAAGAAGCCATGTCAAATTTTTGCCTCAAACCCTAAATCTAATCTTATTTGGATTCTAGATTTCATTGTGCACCTTGTGAATGTGTAGGGGCATTGATTTTGTATGTAGGTGGTGCTTGTTGTGGTTTAAAAGACACTTCAATAGTCAAAGGGCCTCAGATTTTTCTAAATCAGTCTACGGTTTTTTTGATTTTAAAAGTAAATGTTTTTGGCCACATACCTCTTGTTGTTAGCTTTCCAATGAGCTAAAGCTCGCTTGATTTGGAGTTAGAACAAATTTTTGGTGAATTGTTGAGTGCAAGGGGGTTGCCTCCTTTGGTATTTTGGATTATTCAATTTTGAAAAGACAATCCTCAGTGCTTTATAATTGGATTATTCTGAATTTTTGAAAAAAAACAAAGATTTATAAGCTGAGCTTCTAAGGGCACTAATTTCATAGCAATTGAAGCCGAGTTGAATTTTTGGTGAAATTCCATGTGAAGGGGGTAGGCTACCCCTGCAATTCCAACTACTCAACTTTAAAGGGACATTTTTCGTGGCTCAAGTATTGGATTGCTACAAAGTTTCTTGGAAAAGTAGCATCTTTAAGTTAGGTTCTCAATCACCTGAGAACCATTAGATTTGGAACTGATCGGAATTTTTGGAAAATTTTGGAGTAGAAGGAGGTCTGCTGCCCTCAACTGGAGCACGGTTGAGGTCAGTTCTTTCCATCTTTACCTTGTTTTTTTTCTATTTACTCTTCACCTTCTGACTTTTGACTTAACCTTAACTCGACTTTTAACTTTCAACTTTTAATTTATTTTAATTTTTTCTTAATTTTAATTTTATCTTTACCTTTTTACTTTTCCTTCACTTTTTCTATTTCTATTTCACTTTTATTTTGCTTCTACTTCTACTTTCACTTTTATTTTATTTTATTTTATTTATCTTCTATATCCAAAATAACTATTATATACTAAAATAAACCAATGAATTATTATTTTCATAATTTATATTTGTAAATATACCTATATGAATATAAATTATTTGAATAGGTCAGTCCACCAAAGCCTGAGCAGCGTTGATACGTTGGCGTGCAGCGCGAACTCCTAGATGAACTCTCGATGTGTGGTCCAAAGAGCTGGGAAACGATTCAGAGTGTCCACAGCTTCAAGAAAGAAAAAAATATCCAATCAGTTTTAGTGACGGCAATGAGGATGGCAGACGTCACGATTTAGGACATGGAAACCGGCTCGATCGATTGATCGCCTGTTGTTTGCACCACTGCGTAACTTGCAGCATAGCCAGTGACGGATGATTCTACACGAACTTATCGCAGAGTCATGCCTCTGATGAGAAATCGATCCGGTCAAGAAGACAAGAAATCTAGGAATTCAATTTCCAAATATCCAGCTCCTGAACTATAGCCGGAGTTCAATACGTGCGGGGTGCTTTTTCTACACTAGGTAACAAATATCAGACTGCAGTAAGTTTCCCACATGCCTTGGAATCGCAGAGCTTGCTTTGGCGTCGCAGATCTGTACGACACACAAGAAACTGGAGGGCATGAATTTTAGCCTGAATCTCCGACGGACGGAAGAATCTGAGAGTCGGTTGTCGATTTTCGATCTGCAGGTCCCCTAAACTTAGAGACTCCTAGAACAGAGGCCAATGGTGGCGAGGCACAGGCATGGCGATTGCGTGCGCGTGCAGATGAGCTTCCTGCAATGGGTAACAGCTGCCCTTGCTGGGACCAGCTCGCATGTATCTATCGGTTTGGTGCAGCTGCGGCGACCAGTCCAAGTGATTTTGGACGGTATCCTGGTGGAGCCCGCCGCAGAGGGTGCGTGCCATGATGGGAGGCAAGGGGGGTAACGGAAGGTAGTCCGTCCGGAAATCTTCACTTGCGAGTTGAACTGCGACGGAACTCATCCAGCTAAAAGCAGCGACAGCAGCAGCGGCGTCGCCAGGGCCACCACCATTCTAACAATATAAACTTTCCCCACAAGGTTAATAGAGCCACATAATCCACATGATTGGAGTCCCTTCATGACGAAGAACAGGGTCCACAGCCTTTTTATCATCCACTCGAATCAAAGGCATGACATTCATCCTAAATTTAATGTTTTACATCCACAAGCGGGGCAGGAATTTCAGGGATAGGCTTGATTTCATTACTCAGCGACTGGGAGTTTGATGCCAGGCTAGATTTATCCATCAAAGGGGGGGAGGGGGAAAAGTTAAAGTAAAGATTGAGTGGAAAAAGAAAGTGAAGAATAAAGTGAACGGATGTTTCGTAAAAAGCTTGGAACAGCTCGTTTCAGTCCCCCTTTTAATGAGCTTCGAGAGTCGCCCTTCGGCACTTCATTGATCGCGAGCTCTTTAGCACCCGGCGTGGAATATCTGCTCCCATTAAACGTAGAACAGCTTATTGCTCCCTTCGCCGACAGCCCTTGGGGGATTCGTCTCGGTTTTGACGCACCGGTGTAAAGTAGTACCGCCTTGTTAGAGCTTCGATTCGAGTGGTGAACCTCCAGACTCGATTAGAAGTTTCGAAGGTGAGGTTTCTGTAGAAGGTTAAGGTCGGCGAGCTTTGCATTGGATTCTTTCCCAAGGTTCAGGTTCTGGTTCTTCTGTGCTTTTGTGCGTTAGGGGCTGTATTTTTTCTGGCAATTATCCCATTTTGTTTTTGTTGTTGCAACTCTTAGAATCTCCACTTGTAGGAGCTCTCTGACGCTGGAGTAGCATTAGATTTGGAAATTTGCGGTCGTATGGGTGCTCTGACTCTTGTATGCGGCACATGATAATTTCTTGCTGCGGCTTGTGTGACTTATGCTCTGTTTTCATCTGCGGAAACTCCCTGTTGTGCAGTCGTCAGATTGGAGCTTTGAGAAATTAAGATTTTCTTCTAAGACTCTGAGTCTTTTAACTGAGTGTGTGTGTGTGTGTGTGTGTGTGTGCTGTCGTCGTGATTGTGTAACCAATTGAGCAGTTCTTATGTTACAGCATGTGCGTAGAGAACTTCAGACAGGGAATTTGGTGCTTCAGTCTTTGTTTCAGTTTCCCCACGGCAGAGCATTACATGTCGTTCCTCCATAGCTGACTGGTTATCTTAAAAACTCCTTGAACGGTCAATTTTCGTACCCGTAGTAATCGTACTCCCATACTACCTAGAAATTATGCTTCCTAACTCCTTATTGCAAAGAATCCGTCGGGTCTTCGGCCCATGAACAATGGATTGACATGATTGTATGGAAATGTTCAAGCGCTCATGATTTACTCGGCCTGGATTGTATCGTAGGCTGTAACATTCTACTTAAATTGTTGAAAGTTCGTTTTCTGTTGTTTGGGTTCGATAGCTTATCACACGGTTTAGTGAAGCAAAAGGGAGTTATTTTAACTTGTATTTGGATTCAGACATGGCCGGAGTTCTTCGACGAGCGATTTACCCTGCTGCCCGACATGCCATAACCGAAATCTCACGTCCAATTGCGTTCCGGGCTTCTCAAGCAATGACTGCACATGTTGGAGCAGGCAGCGGAGGACGTGTTGGCGGTTGGGCTGTCCGAAGCCCACCTCAAGACATTCCATTTGCAGTGAAGGGGCTGCAACACATCGCCATCGCTGTTCCGGATCTTTCAGTTGCAGCCGAGCATTACCGCAGTGTATTTGGTGCCCAAGTCAGTCAACCCGTGGTACATGTCGAACCCTCAGCCTTTTCTTCCTATGTCCTCTTTTCGTCTGTAATAATGTCGGAATTGCCAAACGTAGCCGATGAAGAGGTGTCCATGGGACCATTGCTGATCAAGAATCTTGCTTATTCATAAAATCTTATTGTTTATGCGTGTGCAGGATCACGTCGATCTCAAAGTGACCAAAGTTTTTGTTCAATTGCCGAATGTATGCATTGAGCTTTTACATCCCATGGGACAGGACGGCCCAGTTGCTGAATTTCTCAAGAACAATCCCAACGGTGGCATCCATCACGTCTCATTTGCGGTATGGTTCTACCCATCCTGTGGAACACATTTGTAATTTGTTCTCAACAATTTGCAAGTCTAACTTATCACCAATCTGTATTTCAGGTCGATAATATCAACTCAGCAGCATGCTACATAGGTGAAGCAGGCGTGGGAAGCATTCCTACTGGCAACCCTAATATAGGAGCAAGTTACAAATCTGAGATGTTTCTGCAACCCAAAGACAACATGGGAGTCCTCATCCAGCTCCAGCAGATAACAAACCGCTCCCGCGCTCGCGTCTAAATAACTCCAACGTGGGCTTGGGCATGTAACCGTATTCTACTGTAGGAGATCGATGGAGCAAACATCTGTGCTTCTCAGGCACAATTTGCAACATGGCCTGGCGGGTTTCAACTCACAATCGAATACTGGGTGATGGCTCAAGTCTGCCCGAACCTCCAGTAACTGTTGCCGCGAACCAACCCTGTCAGTACCATTGCTATCAAAATCAAATTGCAAGGTAGACAGTAACTGCGAGTGAGGATGCTGAGCTGTATCAAGTCTTGGACGGTCTCTGTGTGTCATGGCAAGCCACTGAAACAACTTCTTGGAGGCTGGGAACTTGTTTGTGTATTTTACACCATTGGGAAGGTTCTAATGTAACACTATGTAGCTCTAGGAGCCTGTGAAGAATCTGGAAAAAGTCCTCCGGAGGCGTCTCCTGACGTACTTGGCACAGTAGGGTTGATTCAGAGGTATAACTTGTAAGCTTTGTACAATTTACGGGGTTGATCGCCTGGCGTTTTCATAGAATAAATCTCATTCGAGGTTGAAGGGGACTCATTAGTGATCAGGGATATTTACTAACTTATAATCGGTCCTGGTCAGTTAACTAAACTATATCTAAACTATTCTGGGGTTTGATGGGTGGAGAAGTTCGTTTCCACTGTTTCAAGTTTGAGTTGTGAATCTTCAATATAATATATACCGACGACGGACACTTGAAATAGTTGCTTGTGTAAGAAAAAGGTTGCTTGTTTCTGTGCTCGTTGTAGTGATATTGGGGTCTCAAAAATGGAGCGTACAGTATCCCGGCCTGGGTGCATTAAATGCATGCTTGAACACCTATCTTCAGTGATTCCAGAATTGCCCTCAGGTTCAAAAGTACAGAAAATGGAGTAGACATGACGAAAACGAGACCCAATCCACTGCATTCCACTTTGTAAATTGGACACCTTGAGTACGATTAGACTCGGGGAACTTATTCATGCTGCACACAGTTCTGTGAAATGGCTTTTTTCATGCTTCCTTGATACAAGAACGTCGATGTGATAGTATTTGGGTGAAATAGCGTCGACAGTGTTACAATTGAGAACACACTGCAGTATCAATTGAAGGTACACTGGGGGAAAATGGGTTGAGAAAAGTTAGCGGGGAATTGACGTGAACCAATCCAACCATTGAACTTAGGCTATGTTGATGTCCTTGAAAAATGCGATCGTAAATAGCCATACAAAATTACCAACAAGAATTCAATATTAAGTAGAAGAGGCCGATCTTGATCCAACTAGCCTACTCTCGTTCAAGTTCTCAATGGAAAAAAATGATATTTTCCTCCTTTTATGATAATTTTTTTCTCTGGGGAGATAACACATGGTAAGCTTTCATCAGTTTTCCTGTTTTCCACGAGGAATGCTTTAAACCATCTCCCCACAATGATGCACCTTAACGTTTATTCAAGTGTAGGAATACATAAACACATGATTCTTCTGATTTTGCAGCCATACATGGACAAGTCAAAGCTGGGCTTCAATCCGGTACTCGAGACGCATGTTTACTGTTCAGTGCCGCAAGGCACGTCGTTTCGGATGGACTGTGAACTGGGATGGAGATTCCATCAACTGTTTCTAGAGATGGGAGGTTTGCTTTCCAAGTGGAGCTGTTTACAAGAATAAACTTTAGCAACCACTTCAGGGTGTTCAGCATTCTTCGTTATGGAAACCTCTCCAGCCTCGTGCCAAATGACAGGCAGGCTGGCAAAGGCCACACCAAGTCAGCAGAGAACCATCCATTGCTGTCTAGTTCAACAATTTTCTTAAGGGAATGTTATTCATTCTCGATGCTTAAAGCTTGTGACTCGATGAAGCCAAGGTTGGCTATGGCGGAGAGGAAACAGGAGTCTGCCATGGCTGCGATAACGCTCAAGTGGTTGAGTTTGCGAAGTTTCTTTCGAATCCGGAAACCTTCGCGTCTCATTTTAGGAAATTCGGTCGTGCTTCTGGAATCCTGACCGACATCTTCTCCACCTTCGAATTTCATTTTCATGCACTTTCTCCTCTGTTTTGTCACCAGGGAAGCATGAGAAGGTTGTGGGATTGCAGTGGAGGATTCTTTCACGAAAGGCTGAAATCGGGAGACGTGAGACACTAAAAGCACCGGCCGATCCGTATACGTCGTAATTTCTGTTTGCCGAATTGGAGACTGGGAATATTGTACATCGGTGGGTTTTCTAGCTGATTTCTGCGAATCGGGTTCTTTGTGTCCGACTAGTAACAATAGTCACGAATCCGTCTTTCTGCATAGTGCGCAATCTGTAAATTCTCTGCAAAGCTGCTGTTCTTTACGGTTTGCCTATGTCGGCTTGGCATCTGAGCATGCTCTTGAACCATTCCCTGTCGTAAGCTTTTTTTAAAGAGGCGAGGCAGTTCACTAGTGATGTGGTCGTAAGGGATCGTTTCAAGTGTATATATACATATATCTACATGGAGAAATGTTAAAATGACCCAGGCTTTTGTTAAATTAACCCACATGTCTAAACCATCATTGCACCCCCCGTCCCCCATCTCCGTTCCCCGCGTTCCCTGAGTTCCCAGACCCAATCTCGACCCCCCTCCCTGTTCCCAGTCCCGCATCGTGAGTAATTGACCTTGTCGTAGTCCCCCCAGCTTCTAGTTCTGTGAATTCGGAACAAGTTACCACATTCTGCACCTCAACAAAATTGCTCTATGTCAAAGATGGGCATTGATGCGAAGGTTATCCAGGCAGGTCTGTTCAGCACTACCTCCACTGCACTAGGGAGGAGGGCGATGCTGGAGGAGACAATGAGGCGGGGTTCAGACATGATAGGCATAGATGTACCAAGCGAGCACGAGATTAACCTCTTGTAAGCCAGTAGAGACGATGAGTTTGATATCTTTGAAGAGATGGATGAGTAGAGACGGCAAGAAGAGGGTTATAAGTCGCGACTAATGGAGGAGCACGAGGTGCCAGAATGGGTGTTTTTAAATGGTCCTAAAGGCGAAGATGGAAATTAGGAGGGTGACATTGACAGGAAGCAAGTCACAAGGAAGCGAGCTCGGAAGGAGGTTATGTATACCGACTTGCTGAGCGATTCTCAATAGATGAAGGCCATCGAGGATGGTGAGGACGTTGGAGCTGCTGTCAAGATGCAACTCACGAAGCGGTCCAAGAGACGAGAGCAACAACAAGCTGCTCTTGAGTAGGAAGTAGCTGAAATGCTTGAAGGTGATGAAAATGCTGAAGATTATATTGCTACGGACGCTGAAGATGAGTCAATCACAGAGCACACTGAGCTGCAATATGAAGAAGCAGAAGTCAAGACAATCTAGCACAACTTCCACGTTTGGACAGTGTGAACTTCCACGTTGAACACTTCTGGAGGTATGCCCTTAAGCTCTTTATAAGACCATGCAAATACATCCCTATACGCTGTCGTACTATAAATACTTACAATATGTAAAAATTAGCTAAAACATATTATATCTTGATAAATCTAGATGTGTGTTAGAGTGGTTAGTAGATTAAATTAAAAGGAGTTGGTATAAGAAACTTTACTTTGTTTCTTTACTTCTTTTGATTTTGACATTAAAATATATATATATATATATATATATAAATATAGGATCTAAATGTTTAGTATGAAGCCTTGGGAGAAGGTGGAAACCTAAGGATGAAAATCTAAACTAGTAGGAGGCTAATTGAAAGGGATGAAAACAAGGCATGGTCGGATGAAGGCAAGGAATGGAGAACTTCATCCCTATTGGTCGAATACCATGCCCAATGGACTTCAAGGAGGCTGCCCGAGGCCTTATTAGAGATTAGGGTTCCTCTTTCGAGGGCATTCGGAGATTAGAAGCTAGGGTTGTAAAGTTTAGAGTTTGGGGTACAAGTTGTGTACAAAAATTAGAGGATTTGGAATTAGGGTAAAAAAGTTATAACTGTTTGAAGTTAAGGTGTTAATTTAAGACATATTGTAACTCTTTTGAGAAAACGAGGAGTTTTACAACAGCTTTTGAAGATCGGAAGGTGCGTTTGAAACGGCGATTTCAAGGCCTACATCTTTTATGAAAGAATTATTGCTTTTGGAGTTCATATGAAGGAGTTGTAAAGAGTTGAAGATGACGCTTCCAAATCAAAGGCAGTAAGTAAGTGGTTTTGTTTGTAGTAATGGTTGGAGCCATAACTTGAGTATTCGGATGAATTTTTGGCTCAAACTTTATGGAGAATGTAAAATTTTGTGTTAAAAAGCTATATATATAAATTTCATGGCATTTGAACTTATATTTTGTGAGATATGAAGAAAATTGCACGTGGATGTATAAAGACAAGGGTTTGAAGCGATTGTTAGGGATTTCAAGATATCTCAAGATCAGCAATGAATTTGCGGTTGAAAATTTTTGTAGAAGTTAATAAGAATACATCAGTATCTCATGTAAAATTTGAGTTTGTTTGGACGGTCGGATTAGGAGATATGAGGTGTTGAAGTTTGGGAAAATCTCCACATAACAATAAACAAGGTTTTAGAAGATTTTATCATACTTGGGAAGTTGTGGATTACTTGAGGATTGTGTATTTGGTGTAATTACTCAAAAGGGAAAAATTATATATAAACTTAGGGCTTCCCTTATTTTCAAGCTTGATTGAATAATTAGTGACAACCAGAAGTCTAGCGTTTTCTTAAGGCAAACTCTCTCTATCCCGACAACGCCATAATTAACATCTTGTAACTTGTCAACTCATCTTTTGTCAATTGAATCTTTACTTTGATGAATTTTGAATCTTCATTCTCTGAAGACACATCTATTAATTTGTAATCAAGGTTGTACACATGAGCTTGTTCTATAGAGCCTTTGTACTAATCATTTGAGATTTGTGGATAGATAATTATGTCATTTCTAGCTATAAGACCACTAGAAGTTTGTTTACATTGTAAGGATGGAGTAAAGTTGCCTTCTTTTATTAAGTGATCCAACTTGTGAACTTGAGTACTATCAAAGTTTACCTCCAAGACATCTTCAATTTTTATATCATCAACTAGGGTTGTTAAACTTCCTTCTAAAACATCATGTTGATAAGTGAAAAAACTTTCTAAATAATTTATATTCACAACTTTTTCCGCACTTGAATTTGGGTGACTCTACAACCATTGTGAAAATTCTCCATCATCTTCCTAGTCATACAGTCTAAGGCCTATACATCCTAGTAGAGTTGGTTGAATCATACTTAAATGAACCACCTCCTTTGCTACCAAATTAGCAAATCTAACTTTCTTTTTAAATCTTTTTTGTAGTTGAGGACTTAAAATTTTATCTTCTGAAGACTGAAATAAAGTTTTGGCTTAAAAAAATCCTTGAGATTGAATAAGGATTTTAGTCAAGTTTTCTAGTCACCCATAGATGATATGGAACTTCTCACCTCTTCAATCAATTTTTGCATTAAATGGCCTTAACTAAGGTCTTTCTAAAAGCAATGGATATGAATTTTTGTTAAAATGCATGTAAATCACATGAAATATGAGGGAGTATTCTTCACCTCCTATCATCGTCCTACAATCACTTATTTATCCAAGAGGTGTTTTTTGGCTTTGATTAGCTATATTGATTACAAATGGAGAAGGTCTAGTAATACTAAGTCCTAATGTTTTCATAGTTCTCATTAGCAAAATATTTAAACCACTACCTCCATCGACAATGGTATAAGAAATGATTT